GCTAGGTCTGTTCTGTCCTTATGTCCAAGCAGTATGAGGATCTCAGCTACATATTGCTTATGGCTGTCATTTAAAATAGGTATTTTTAATTGTAATCTTAGCAGTCAGGGATTAGTATTGAGTGTGTGGAAGAGGTGTGAAGAGACGTGAACTTCATATTCTGCGCCAACCACCATGGGGTGCTGTTATATTCAGCAGTGTGAGTAGCACACGGCATGTAGCTGTGACTGTTGCTCTAACAAGACCATCAGTGTCCTGTGGTAACGCTCCTACTTGGTCCTTAGACACACAACATAAAAAAAAAAAGTCTATTTCTTTCAATTTCTTTATGAGAAAATGACTAAAATGAAATGGCTAATGCACTGCCTAATTCTGCCATGAGTATCCCCAATCCTTATTCTGATGCTTCTTAAATAAGCCTCTAGAAAGGACTTCATCTCACCTAAGAATTCAAAATTAGCCAGCAAATACTAGATAAGAGGTTAAGGAGAAGACAGTGTCAAAGGTACTTTGTGGGGTGGAGAGCACTCTAAATTCTCATCCTGTCATCTATTTTGTTGCTATATTGTACAGTGTCTCCAAAAAGAGAGAAAGGAATTTAAAGTATAGTTCAATGAGATGTATGAATAAAACTCCTTTACATTTACTAAGTAAAAAGCTGAAGCAATTCATTTTACTGGAAAAAAAAATATAATGGCAAAACAGTTTCTACTACTATCACTGTGTAGTCTAATTTGGTAATTTCTTACTCATGTGTCTCCTCAGCCCTCTCCTGGAGTGTCAAATATTCATACATATCTTCAGCTAAGCTTTTAGTGCTTATGTCATTGTGGGAAGAGGCTGCTTCTCAGCTGTGAAGCCAAGAACACCTATTTATAGACTGACTGCCATACATTATGAGAATCAAACCATACCRGGAATTGCAGCCAAAAGTTCAAAATCAAGTTACATTTCCTAATCAGTTGAATAATGAAATTTGTGGGTTTTGACAAACAGAAGAGGAAAGCAAAACTGGAATAATCTATTTTAATGCATTGTTCTCTGTGTGCTGAAAAAAATGTTATGTGACAGGTACACAAACTAGTTTTCTTTCAATCTAGCTACAGTGCGATTTTTAGCACTTGTAGATTGGAGATTTGGAGCTTTTCTGGGTAGATATAGTTTGGAGACAAGCTGTTTTTTCCATCTCTTCCATTTCTTTGCCTTAGAAGCAGCTTTGTAATTCAGATTTGTAAAGAATCTCTCGTCAGGATTCTGTGGATATATAACAAAATACTGCGGGTTTTGCAACGTGTTCTCTCCAAGGTCTGGCTAGATTCATGTTTCAACCTCCTTTTCCTTTTCTCTGATGACTGCCCTATTTTTTCCTCCTCATGAAGAGCATCTGTCACTGCTGTCATCCTAGCACTCTGAAAGCAGTAAGAGCTTAYGTGGGATCTCATGTGAAGGAATTTGGCTTTGGACAAATATAATCCGCACGCCTACATGTGGACGTGTCACCCGCCTCAGCCAAGCTGTTGCTGTTCTGTCATTGCTGAATCCTGTTCTGTGCCCTAAGCTACTTCTCTGCAAAATGACCCACCACGAGCCTTACTGAACTGAGCAACCAGAAGGGAAGAAAAGTAGGAAGGATGGACGCTGTTTGTACAGAATATCCTGCTGTTAAAGTCCTTCCAAAACAAAATCCTCCTTGTCCAAGGGAAGAAATGGGTTAAAGGAAGCGACATGACTCAGCGTTTGCTGCTTCAGGCCATAAARCAACTTTGCAGAGTAGGACGCAGGTCTGGGTCTCACAGCCTTTTATCCTCCCTGTAAGTTCAGTTTTTTTAAATGAAGCTAAGAGCACTGCCGTATTTGAATATTTTGACTTATGATTTAGCACTGTRGGAAAAGACTTAGGTCATTTCCTCCTCAAGTGCCTCCCTTTTCCATCCCGGGACGTGTCCATGCACGGTCCCTTAGGGACCCTCTGCTCGTGGCTCCKGTGGCGGGAGCAGCTTCTCGGCCGCGGGTCCAAGGGCAGAGCCGCCCCGCGCTCGGCCCTGCTGCCCGACATGGCGCTGCAGGCCAGRCACAGGGACCCCGCGCAACCGCCGAGGAGGGCAGCCCCTCTGCCGGGTCACGGCCTGGGCTCGTTCTGCTTTTACTCCTCTGGGAATAAATTTAAATTTTATTCCTGTGGGAAGAGGCGGGACAGAGAGCGCAGCTGGGCCCCAACCGCGGGCGCCCCCTGCCGGCGCTCCGCCACGGCGGCCGCGGCGGCCGTTGCGGCCGTTTGCCGTTAGAGCGGAGCCGGCGCTGGCGCCGCGCGGGGAGGAGCCCGGCGGGACGGGAGGAGCCCGGCGGGGCGGGAGGAGCCCGGCGGGGCGGGAGGAGCCCGGCGGGCCGCCCCAGCGCCGCCGCGTCCGGGGCCGCCGGCGACCGAGGTGCGTTACCCGCGCGGACGGGGACGGGAGGAAACGGGCGTTAAAAGCAGAAACGGTAGCGCCGCCCCTCCTCCCCCCCGGCCGTTTGCGGCGGCTGCGGGTGCTGCGGCGCGGGGCGCCCCCGGGAGGCCGCGGGTGTTTCGGGTGCTGGGAGGCGTCGTCGGGCTTCCGTGTCGCAGTTCCTGGGACATCCGTCCCCCGTGGTGCGTGGCTGTGCTTATTTACCTGTCTGTGGCGTGTCGTGCCGTTGGCTTTACGGATGGAGAGGGTGCAGCGTTTTGTGCTGGGGTTCCTGGGGAAAAGGAAAGGAAAAGCGTCTTGCCTATTCCCGCAGCAGAAAACTCCTTTGCCTGGTTATAAAATCTAGCCCCGATTATTTATTTATTTATCTTTTCCTAGCGAAAGACGTTTGCTGCATGTGTCATAGCTGATAATGACATAGATGATGGAGGCCTTCCTGTTTCTTCTTAAAGGGATTTTGTAATTTGTGAATTAACAGTAAGCTATGGGTTTTTTTTTTTTTTTTTTTTTTTTTTTTCCCCTGATTTGGCCTAATGCTCTCTCACAGTTACTCTTGTGTTAAAATGTAAAATGTTCCAGCCAAACCTTGCACGCACCTCTCCTTCCAGTGACACAGGGCCCGGACAGCGGCTTTCCCTCCTTGCTGTGGCCTCCTTTTTCCTAGTGAGCAACCCGCAGCCCCCATCGCTTTGCCCTAGGGCCAGCTGCTCTGCCAGAGTTATCCCAGGTGGGCTGAAGCTTGGGCACGTGCAACCAGAGCTGCGTCTGTGCAGGAGCCCCTTTCAGTGAGGTCTGCATCGGTATTGGGAGACACTGGGTTAGTAGGTCGCTGGTCTGTAGATTGGGGCTGCGTTTCTTGATCTGCTAATGAGCTTTCCCGTGCTACAGCCAGCAGCATTGCGCCCTTTGGCCTCGGTTTCCCCATTCTGAAACTGAAATTGCTGCAACTTGCGTGYCATACACTCTGCTTGTGAATGGGTGGTGGTATCCTGTGGGAGGCCCAAAATAGTTAWGCAGTCTGGGCTCATTGCGTAACATTTGTGTTTTCTGAATTGTGCGTTGGGCTGTGAGCTTAAATGGGTGAATTCATGCTCTCGTGATCCTTATCCTGCCACAAGATTGCAGAATCACAGAATCTTCGTGGTTAGAAAAGACCTTTTGAGATTATCAAGTCCAACTGTAAACCCATCACAGCTGTGCCTGCTGAACCATGTCCCTGAGCTCCACATCTGCACCTTGCTTGAACGYGGCCAAGGACGGTGACTCCACCACTTCTCTGGGCAGCCTSTTCCCAATGCTTGACTACTCCTTCCGTGTAGAAWTTTTTCCTAATATCCAACCTGACCCTCCCCTGGCATAATTTGAGACAATTTCCTCTTGTCCTGTCAGTAGTTATYCTGGAGAAGAGATCACCAGTAGTTATTCTGGAAAAGAGAAGAACCCCTGCCTCACTAAAGCCTCCTTTCAGGTGGCTGTAGAGGGTGATAAGGTCTCCCCTGAGCCTCCTTCCTCCAGACCGGGTAACTCCAGCTCTCTTGCTAGTAAGGTCTCTTCTCCAGCCCTTTCACCAGCTTCGTTGCCCCAAGTTCTGCTGTGGGCCACACTCTTGTTGAATCCCCGCAGAAGGTTAATCCCAGGTCCTGGTGGAGCAGGTTGCTGACTCTTGGCTGTGTGTTGTTGTTTGCTTTTTGGTTTTGTTAAATGTTGAGGTGTTGCCAGAAGTTTTAGCATTGCTGTCGCTTGACGACAGTCTCCTTTGTCGTCTTGCCCATCTGGCTCTTTCTCCCCACCATTTTCTGCTGCCCTAAGGTGTTTCTCCAGACTGTGCGAGAAGTGATTGCCCACTGGTTTTGGAGTTGGGCACTGGGTTTTGATCACTTTCTATAGAGGATTTGCTAAAGAAATTACAGTGTAGTTAGAGATGCTCCCAAGATATTTCATTTGTTGCTAGTGCTGTGCAAGTCTTAAGAACTCCTGTAGTTATTTGTGGAGGTCAAGGACTGTGTATGTTGAAAGATGAAATGGAAATCAGCTTTTGCTTCCTCTGGCCAGAATCTCTTTATGTAAGTTAGAATTAGAAAAATCAAGAAATTCTGCCTCTAGGGTGTCTCTTCATTGAGAAAGTTGGAAATAGAACATGAAGTGGTGAAAGAAATAGGCTGTTTACCTTGAGAAAAGAAATGTGTCYTGAATTGGGTATCTTTTCTCTGTGTGCTGGCAGGGTCAGGTGCAAATGGAGAGTTATTGAGACCCAGCTGAAGGGCCTCTGAGTCATCAGTGTTTTTTTGCACAATTTTGGGAGTGGGATTCTGTCGTGGTGCACACAGCCCCCTSAGCTGCTGACGAAGCTGCCTGTGGATGAGGGCAGTGTCCCTTGCTGCATTTAACTGAGCCTTTATTTCATTTCAATAAATTCCAGCAAATTCCTTGGGAAGAATGTAATGGTGTTTGCATTGTTTCTTGTGCTGTTTGACCAGCTGCTTTGAAGGGTTTTGCTTTGTGCCATAGTTTCACTTTGCTTCTTTCTAATTAAAAATTTTGTTGCTTTGAAAGGGTCCCTGCTTTGGTGCTGCCAGACCAGTGAGACTCCTAGTCACAGTTCAGCAGGTCGCCACGCGGAACTGGCAGACTTTAACCTGGAGGAGGGAACATGATGTCCTTGGATGAGACACAGAAGATGATCAATAACCCGGTAACTATCCTGCTGCACAAATAGCTTCTCCCCGGGAAATGGGACTTTGCTGTTTTATGTCAGGAATTAGGTGTCTCTCCTCTCTCTGCAAACACCAGGAAAGCTTTCCAGGACTTTGCGTTGCTTGAGTGTTTGAGGAAGAAACTTACAGGTGGTGCTTAGAAAYTGTACAATAAGCAAATGAAGACTAAATGCACAGTACCTCCAGAACAGGAAGGAAGCTCTCTCAGCCTTGGAGGATAGTGCTTTTTCATACACGGCTTGTGTGGATATCTGGTGCTCTTGCAGAATGTGTTGAAACGGGTGAAAATATGATAAGCAGTGTTTTCAGTCCTGTTTCTCAGTAAACATAGGTGGTGCCTTGTAACTTTTAAGATTGTTTCCTGGTGGTTATAAATTCAGTCTGAACAATTAAGATTGGAATCTCTCTCCACAGATGGTGTTTAATCTTGCACTAAAACTTATTTTTGTGGAAAGCTTGAGCTACAACAGTTCAGCCATTGCAGAGAGTGGAGCTGACAGCACCTTGTTAGCTAAGTTTAGCATCGGGAATCTTTCTCTGAAAAGCTCTAGGATTCTTGTTCTCTGGGGCAGTGCTTTGATGTTGTCACCAGGCTAAAGGGATGAGCTACATATGTTTATTTTGTTGCTTATTAAGGAAGGATTTTAAGCCTGCAGAAAATAGTATTTTTTAGCATTCTGTRTTAAAATATTTCTAAAATGTTAAAGTCACTAAAGAATGTGTATGGACTGTATAACAGCATGTGCCTGCCCAGGGCTTCTGTATCTGTTAGAGTCCTGTGCCCCAGTGGATCAGGCTGTTGAATCCTGGTTGCTCACTGCTTGTGAAGGAGATGGGCTGGAGAAGGGGTGATGAGGAAGGAGCTTCAACCTCCTCCTTGAAAACACCCCAGTTGGGAGAGGAGGCAGAAGCTGTGCAGGTAGGGAGCAGAAGCTGGAAGGCCTGAAGGGCAGGAGAAAAGGGAGGGTGAAAGCTGGCAAGTGGTGTTGGAAGCGGGGTGGGGAGATGAAGCAGATGGATCGGGAGGTGAATGTGTTGAGTAAGAAAGAGTGGAAGATTTTCACTAAAGCTGATACCTGCAGGGGGACTGAGGGTGTCAAGACCAGGTCAGAGAATATAGACGGATAAAACGAGGCCTGAGATATCGAGAGCTTAGGCAGGGAGTAAGAGTGAGTGCTCGGGACTGGAGCGCGGATCAGAGTGTTGCTGCTCTCAGACTGACTCGYGACAAGGCCCTGAGCAACCTGCAGAGCAGGTGGCACCTGTGAGAGCAACCCCCAGGGAGACCTCGTTGTCCAAACTGCAGGTTTGAGTTTGACTGCTTTGCTGTTTGCACAGAAACCTCGTCAGCTGGTGGCTGGTTCCACCACTGCTGGGCTGACTGCTTGAGCTGGTGTGTGCGTGTGCATGTGTGTGTGTGTGAGACCTTCACTGAACGGTAGGTTCAGGCTTGCTGTTGTGCTTATGTATCTTTCTGTTTTTTTCCTCTCATTTCTTATAGATCATTCCATATGTTGGAACAATTCTTGGTGGCCTTGTTCCTGGTGAACTGGTTGTAATACATGGGAGTGTTCCTGATGATGCGGACAGGTAGTAACTGAGCTGTTGCTTTTCACAATGTAATGATGTGAGCAAGCATATTATGAATAAAAATGTTTCCAGGGTCCTACCCATGATTTCAAATAAAGACTTGTTCTAAATGTTCTAAGTCTTTGTGGAAGTGTGACAGTGAGGAATTAATGAAAAAAATCACGATGACAATTGGAGGATAAAACTGCTACTTCTGCTGCTCCTCTCTTGTCTTATCTCTCTCTCTCTCTCTCTCTCTCTCTCTCTCTCGCTTTTTTTTTGATTTGCCTGCTCTGGCTATTCCCCTCTCCCCCCCCACATTGCATATAGCCGCATTTCTGAGATTTGCTGTGGCTAACAAAATTTATAATTGAAAGTGTTGCTTGAAGGAATTGTCTTAAAAGCAGGATGAGGACATAAGAACTCTGCTGTTTATGGCACAGGGTCAGGATTCTGTTTCCTGTCCTGGCCCAAAGTTATTTTCTGAATTTGGTTACTCTACTTAAGACCGTGATAGAAGGGAAGGCTATGAACACAGTAAGTGAGAAGCTCGGATGATAGGAAGGATGATTGTTAAGTAAATGCTTAAATCTTTCAATTCATTGAAATAAATCACAGAATGTTCTGGAAATGTGTAAGCATTAGACAAAGATTTGTTTTTTCTTATCCAACAAGACTGCCCTGTGTTTGCCTCTTCTGAGGTTCAACAGTAAAACACCAAATGCTTTCTGTATTGAACCCGGAGGTGTTTCCTAGATAGTTTGGGCTCATTGTATGTTTTTTCTTGGGTGTTATGTTTAGATTCCAGGTGGATTTCCAGTGTGGCAGCAGCATAAAGCCCCGTGCTGATGTAGCCTTTCATTTCAATCCCCGCTTCAAGAGGTCTGGCTGCATTGTTTGCAACACACTGGAGAAGGAAAAATGGGGCTGGGAGGAGATCACCTACCAGATGCCYTTTCAAAAGGGGAAGCCATTTGAAATTGTCATCATGGTTTTGAAGGATAAATTCCAGGTGAGCTTAGGCTGTATTTTCTGTTGTTCTTTTCTTTCTTTTTCCCCTTAGCCAGCTGTAAGGCTAATGGACAGCRATATTGGTATATGTATAAAATGAAGCTAAGCCTCAGTTTCTATGTTACAAGGGTACAGCCTAATTACAGAGAAGGTTAAAACCTCTTTAAAGAAGAGGGGCAGAGTAAATCRGACTTCTCCCTTCACGTAGGTTCCTTTAAAGTTGCCTGGGTAGGTGAGAAACTTCCTGCCATGGCTAATGAGAAGGAGYCTTACATGGAGCTTCTGCAAGAGCAGCCCAGGACGGTCCTTCCCTTGGGGCAAGCAATGCGAGGCGCACGTGTCTTGTTCTGTTAGACCACAGCAACATAGATCCTGTCCGTGCCGTGTGTGCCCTGTTGGCAAAGGACTGGGTGGTGGAACCCAAAGGAGGGAAATGCAACTTAGAGTCTAGTTCCCTTAGAGCTCCCTCCCTTAGAGTGGGGGGAGAGGGAGAGAGAGAGAGGGGGAGAAAGAGAGAGGGGGAGAGAGAGACACACACACTGAATGATGGATGAGCAGAACCTGGCTGCTCTGAGGCTTCTCAAACACTCTCTGCCTTCATACTGATGCAGAACAGAGTACGACAGAGATGCATGAAGATAACTTGATAAACTTCATATATGCATACGCATATGTATTTATATACACACATAGTAATGTGTACTTAATGGCACTTCTCTGTTTCATTTTGTTTCTTGTCTCTAGGTGACTGTAAATGAGAAGCACTTGCTGCTGTACAACCACAGAATTAGTCTGGAAAGAATAGACACTCTTGGGATATATGGGAAAGTGCGGATCAAAAGTATAGATTTCATTTCTAATGTAAGTTGTGCAGATAGTTGATTGCTTTCTGGTTTTGTTATTCTTTAGCTTGTGAAAGTGTAGAATGGGAATTATGGTGAAATGGAAGCAACAAAAGTAGCTTAACAGTAAAAATCAGTACCAATAAAAATCAGTACCAGAGAATCTTCTTCCCCAATTTAATGTGGGCAGGCTCCTTGAATTTTAGCCTTGAGGTTAAGGGTAAAATGATGACAAAGTCTACAGCTTACAAAGGTAACAGGCAAATTTGTATAAAAATGGATTGGAGTCTGTGCTAGATGGACTAGCCTGTTCCAAAATTTCAGAAGCTCCAAAATGACCTCAGTTAAAGTTCAGTGCTTCCAAGTGCCTGTATTTAGCTACAAGTGGAACTACTTGTGTGCAGAACTCTGTTTTTCCAGAGAAAAAAACAACCAAACAAAAAAAAAAAGACTGAATCATTGAATGAAATAATAACTAGCAGTGTGTGCATATTTGTCAGATGAGGGAATGGGCAGCCCTCTTTCTTGGGGAGAGATCTTACAGCTTGACTTGCACTCAGACCAAGCTGAAGGAGTTTGTAATTCCTGCCGCCTCTCTCTGAGCCCTGYTACCAGGGCTGCTCGGGGAGAGAAATCAATGGGAAGGACCTGAACATCTTGCTCTTCCCTGTGCTTTTCCCTTCGTGCTCTGAAAGGATTAGACTTGTGGGTGTGAAGCAGCGGGGTAGATTCCAGGGAGGTGCTGGAGATGGTGATCACCGTGTGCCCTCCTTCCCTGTCGGTGCGRTGGCCGCGCGCTGCCCTGCGCGACTCGGGCTTTGCCGTCCCCGTTGGCATCAGTGTCCCCTGCCCACAAATGTTCAGTCTAATTCAGGTCAGCAGACTGGCAACTACATTGAAGGAGGATAAAGATTTTAGGCTGAGTATTGAAGATGCCTCTATATTAATAGAGGCATCAAAAATCTGTATCAAAATCTGTATCAAAAAATCTATATCAAACTTGCTGATGTAAACCCTATATACTGTTGTAAACCCTATATGCTTATTCTTTGTTTGGGCGTCATCACTTTCTCTTGGTATCAGCATGTTGGTAATTTGAAGCTGTCTAAATCCCATTTTTGGAGGACTGATTCTAATAAGAGCTTGGGAGCAAGCTGGTTATATAAGTTGGTTTCTATCCCAAGCACAAAACAAAGGATTGTTGCTTCAGTCAGTGGTGCTGATCATGTATCCTTTGGGAGAGAGGAAAGGAGAGGATTGTTTTTTCCTTTCTAACTTCTGCTTCACTATTCGGAAGAGAAAGGGTTGTACAGAAATAAAGAAGCTGAAGATGCCACCTGCCAAGGCAAGGCCAGGATCTGTCTGTGCCCTGGGCATGGTTTGGGGTGCAGAGGGCAGCCTGAAATCCAGAGGTTCCTCTGGGGTCCCGACACTGTATGGACTGACCCAGCAGCCCTCCTGGTGTTTCCTGCCTCAGCAAGGAAAGCTGAGTGGTACCCTAAGGTACTAAGGGGTTAGCAGCTGGTGGTCTGATTTCTGTATGAGCACTCAAACTAGAAACCTCAGCCTGGCTTCACTAATTGAACTTCAGGTTGTTTCCTTGGTTTGTGGGGGTTTGGCTATTTTTTTTTTTTTTAACCATAACCCTACATTTCCATGTTAACATGTCACCCTTTAAAGCTGCATGGATCCATGTACGTTTCTACAGCAACTTTATGCTAAGATTTCTGTCCTGTTAGTAGTGATCTTTAAATATCTTCTTTTCTGCAGCCTTTACAAGGCACTCGRCCGTCATCTCTAGGAATAACAAAGATAAGCACAGAAAATGTAGGTATACTTTTATAAAGGTTAAATGAACCTTCCTGTTGTCTGATAAGCCAGTTAATATTTGTTTTCCTTTTGTAGGTGGAAATGCCAGATGATTCACAATTTGTAAGTGTCTCACAGATGTATTGGAAATGTGAGGAGTATTTTTTTTTTTTAAAAAGGGTGTGAAGGAGAATAAAAACATCTCAGTTTTTCAGGACAAAGCTGGTCCAGAACAAGGGAATTGAGAACCTGCTGGGAGGTGATCATCAGTCAGGCTTTAGAGAGAGCAGGTCTCTTCCACATGCTACTCAAAGTAAGATTATTCCTTAAAGCATGTGGAAAAAGGATAAATATGGCATCTGCAGCCATACACAGAGGAGTAAAAAGTGAAGTACCTGAAGGTGTAAAGGACCAAATAGCACCAAAAGTCTTGTTCCAATAAGCATTACTTTATCTTTTCAACTCTGGGAAGTACTGACAAAACAAATGTGTGTTAAAAGTATTTTGCGGACAGACTGGGGCTGAATTGCCTCTTCTTAATACACTTAATATCTCCAGAGCTTTTATGTACAGGGTTTAGTGAGTCAGGATGTTAAATTCACAAGTGCCAAATACTGCCACGTACATGTTTGTATAAATCTGCAACCACCATTTCAGCCCCCAATTAGAGGATACTGCATTTTAATATAGGAGTGAAATTTTCATCCTGTTCATCCACAAGGTTATGCTCAGACCTGTCTAACTCTTGCTGACAGATCTATGTCTACAGAATCTAATGGCTGGATGCAAACAGCGCAGATTAGGGCTAGAACTTGTTCCTAGCTAATGTGGAGCCTGGGCTGAGGGCTGTTCTTCTGCAAACAGCTGGATGTGCAGGTGCTCTGTAGCCAGCATCTAGGAGCCAGGTTTGGGAAGGGACCTCCCTGCAAGTGCAGAAGGGTGGAAGCCAGGAATCCCTAGGCACAMAGAGGGAGTTTGTGGAGAAGCCAGAGGATTTGGGTTGCAGTGCCTTGTCAGATGACATTGGGTCTGTGGTGGCATTTTCAGCCTCTAGTTGGGTCCTGTCCCTGGATTAAGGCCTTTGTTGCTGTTTATCCCCGCAGTGCGACACAGGTGTCTCTCCATCCACAATTAGTGATGGTGGAAGTAGAGAAGAGAAGGGGCCATTGCTGTGTTCATATCAGTCTGGCTTTACCACAGTGTTAGTAGACAGGAATGCACTGGTAGGACTGCTCTTTAGCTGTGGGTGCAGGTGTGTGATTATAGATCATGCTGGAGTAAAGCCCAGCTTTTGTGTTGGTGGGGAAGGGGAAAAAGAAAACGAACTCGCAGTCTAATTTTTGCCTGGTTTTACTTCCAGGGAGTTCCTTATGTTGGCAGACTGGATTCTGCACTTCGTCMAGGACGCACGATTGCTATTAAGGGAGAAGTGAACAAAAATGCAAATAGGTAAGTTAGTTAAAGATTTTTGGGGGTTGTTTGTTTTTCTTTTTCTCCTTTCCCCTACCCTTGCCCTTAACTAAGCTACTCTTGAGAAGAAAGAGGCTTTTCCATTGCCTCGGTGTGTCTCTGCTGACTTGCAACTTTGGATCTGGAATCATCTGAAACTGAAGTGCAAATATTTTGGGAACTTGCAGGTGCTGCTTTAGAGACAAAAAGCAAAGATAAAACTTAACTTTTTCCCCCTACTAAGCCCGTGTCCTTCACAAGATTTCATGCAGCTGTTTGGGATCTCCCTGGTGCGAGACGTGTGAGAGTGCACATGTGCCATACACGGATGGCTTTTATCCTTAAGAGATCCAAGAGAAGCGGCAGAAGTAGCCGGAGTGTCAGTGAGTCAATGGGCCTGGGTGCTGGTGTGCTCAAACGCTGCATGTGTCAAGGTCCCCCTGGATGCATCTGGGAACGTCCCCTTAGGGGTATGAGCGTGGAAGCATAAAGGTGCTTAACTGGCAACACTGGAGTGATAAAAGCTGGTGGGGAGTAGGAGTTACTATAGCAAGTAAGGAATGACAGATTGCAGAGAAGGCACCTTATCAGTGCAATTTAATAATAAAATAAAATAACAGGGGAGAAGGGAGCACAACATGGTCCAGAGCTAGGCAAATGTCTTTGCTCCAGTATGTCCTTTGCTTGAAGGGTGCCTTTGACTCTGCAGAAACATGCCTAAAAATGAAGCAATTAGGGCAGCTTGGGAAGTGTGCTCTGTATTTGTTGTGTGTGAATGCCTTGCACTCCYGCTTCCTCAGAATTTCACACTTTATTTTGCACTTTAAGTTGAAATGAAACTAAACTAGAGCCCAAAGTCTAGAAATCTCATGAATAAAGCTAAGCTTGAATGGACTTGAAATTGGACAAAATCTTTAATACTGAAGTCATAACATTTGTGTGTGTGTGTGTGTTCTTTTTCTGTTTTTTTTTTTTTGAAAAGCTTATTAGCTCTGTCTCTTGGCTATATGTATGAAGAGGCTGTTAGCAGTTAGATTTTTGAGGAGCTCACAAGTTATTCAAGGCCTTTCTCTCAGTTGGCACAGCTGTGTGTTGCTAGTTCCCAGTGAGAAAGAGAGGCCCCATGTGGCAATTTCTCCCTGCCTGGTGTTCCTAGGCTTCCCCAAAGGAGAGGGAACAACGTGGCAGCTGGAGTTAGTGTGGGCAGAAGTGTTTCCCCAGTCTGTTGAGGGTCTGTGCCAGAGGCTGAAGCACCTCTGCTCTGACCCCCTTCCCTGAGGCTCCCTGCAGGCAGCGGGTGCTGAGGGCACTGCTCGTGCTGCAGGGTGTCCAGCCTGACCAGAGCTCCTGCACCAGCCGAGAGTTGCTTCATGTGAGCACCCTCCCCATTGCTCTTAAATGTGCAGAGTTTCCTCCAACCCTTCCCTACGCAGCTGAACCAGTTTGGCCACAGAAAGGATATAATCGTGTCCCTTCAGTGAATCCCGGCCTCCCCTCTCCYTTGCCTGCCTTTAAGGGAGCTGGTGTGTGCAGCGTGACCCGATCAGGGAGAGCTGCCTCCGGATGGCTTCATGAGGGGCCTCCGTGCCAAGGAATGAGCAGGAAGGTGTCCGGGAACAAGCAGGTCCATCCAGGTTATATCTCCCCATGTGCTGCCTCCAGCAGGAGCTGCCATGTAAGTGAGGCTGTTGCATGGGAACAGCCTGTGGAGCTGTTGGACCCTCCTGTGTGGAGCGTTGGGAATCACAGTCCAGCTCCCAGAATGCTAAGGGCTTGCTGGAGAGCAGGGATTTATAAGGTCTCAGCCTAACTAACTTAAAAATTGTCTTCCAGCTTTGCTATAAACCTGAAGTCAAGCGACTCGGCGGACATCGCGTTACACCTGAATCCCCGACTGAAGACTAAAGTTTTTGTAAGAAACTCTTTCCTCCACGACAGCTGGGGAGAAGAAGAAAAGGAAGTTCCCAATTTCCCTTTCAGTCCAGGGATGTACTTTGAGGTAAGGCTAACTACAGTGCAGCATCATACCTGTAATTAAACTCCACTGGAAACATTTTTGTGCAGAAAAGTCAAGCCACTAATACAGCTTTACARAACTGGCATTGCTACATCTTAATGTCTTGAGTGTTAAGGGTTAGATGGGACTACAGGAATGATTTAATGAGAACCATCTCTTCCTGATATCTTTTTAACTAGTTGCAAGTAATTCAAGCTGAGCTCAGGACCAACTTCAATAAAAATTCAGTTAAAGGCTCGGTTTTTCTGCTTTTCATGTGAAAGGATTTTTTCCAAAACAGAAGCAGGGCTTGCTTGAGCCCAGGCTTTATCATGAGCTTGTTTTTCATGCCTGAGTTTCARCTTGACTGGTCCTCTTCTTGTTTTCAGCTGATAATTTTCTGCGATGCCCAACAGTTCAAAGTTGCTATTAATGGTGTGCACACGCTGGAGTACAAGCATCGCTTCAAACAGCTTGAGAAGATCAACCTGCTGGAGGTCACAGGAGATGTTCAGTTGTTAGAGGTGAGGAGCTGGTAGCTCCTTTCCATCAGTACTAAAAGAAGTAAACTTAAGACAGTGATTTCTTCCTTGTCAAATACAAACTGGTGCTGACTCATCCTCAGCCTGTCTCTGTAGATTCAGGCTTCTGTATCTCCCTGATGTAGGTGAGTACCAGAACTGCTAAACTCTGAGACTAAATCTTCCTCTCATTTCCAAGATCCTGGCAAGCTAAGTACATGTGTGCTCAGACAGATCACCTGTAGTACTGAACATAGCAATATAAAGATGCTGCCTCAGACCGTGCCTAACAGCTGCACTCTGTGTTCAAGTTAAACTGCAACTGCTCCTACCTTAATAGCATACACTTAATACTGTGAAGTAGACACTAARCTGAAATAGGATCTGAAAATATGAACTATCAACTGCTTATAGCCTACTACCCTGTCATTTAAATGAGTTTCCTACTTCAGTGTTTCTGCTAATGACTGTAATGCTTTTGCTAGGACTAGATGAAGCCAACAGGTGACCCCTCAGTCCTTGAAGAAGGCCGGGAGGAACTGGCCTCTTAGTGCAGTAGCATCAACTCTGGCCTTCATGGCTGTGGTGACTCTGCTTATAATGGGCCTAAATCAACTCCATACCTGCATTTCTAGCTTTCACTTTTCCAAAATGAAGTGCAACCCCCATAAAAAAATAGCAGTTTACTACTGTCATGGATATCTTCTGAAAACCCYTTATTTGATCTGAAAGGGCTCCTTACTGCGTTGAAATTGCTCAGGGAACTGGTGTAGATCTCATTTTCAAACCTATTAACCTAGGTGCTCCAGGGAGAGTTTTATTTGAGAAGACTTAGATCTTCATTGGGGAAGAAAGACTGAATCCTTTTTTCAGATTCTTATTTTAAAATACTAATCTGAACAAGCTGTACCCATTCCCTTTTCTTTACACAAATGGCAACAGTCTTAACTTTTATAGTTATTTTTAAAAAGTAGCTGCTGCCTGCCAGTACATGCTTGAAAGATGTTCCTMTTTATCTCAGTATCTGCTAAAAGACTGAACCAGCTTCCAGACTAAGATGTACCTGAAAAGATAGCACTGGTGATGTATAAAAATTGTAAATGAAAATAAAACTTACAGCCTATGTTTTTCTTCAGGAGTCACCAAGTAGTGATGTTCTTTCTTTGTCTAGATCTTGTCTCTTTTCACTCACTGTCTTACCCCTCTCTGCAGCAGTGGTTGTTGGGGAGACAAATTCATTAATAAAGTATTTTAAGTTGATCTTCAGCTAAACAAGCAAACAGGTGGTACTGTCTCAAGGTGCTCCCTGCATCCTGTGCTGTTCTGCAACTTCACTGTCGTCTGTGGGCTCACTCTTTTACTGCCTTAAGAAAGCCAAAGGCGGCAGCAGTGGCTGCGCTCAGTGAGGGGCAGCCCTGGGGCAGCCCCTGCTGCCGGGGACTGCAGGGCCAGCCCTGCCCCTCCGCTGCACCCAGCACCTGGCTTACACCTTGCTCCACTTTCCTCCTCAGCCCAGGGCACGTGGTGGCCTGCAGAAGAACAAAGCGAGGGCCYCAACCAGCCAGAAATGACACAGCCATCCTCTGATGGTATTTTATTAAAAAAAAAAATCTGATAAAAATGAGAAGGGCACCTTGCCTGTCATTTCCCTCCCAAATGAACCCGATACAGACACAAGATGAAAACAAAGGAGATAGCTTAAAAGTAGCTCTGGAGTGATTCGCCCAAAATGACCTCCAGTTGCTGAACGGTTTTCTGACACTGGTGTTCCACTTCTTCACATTCATCTAGAAAATAAATCAAAGGAGGAAAAGTAAATAAAAATGTTACTACAAAGCAAGCAGAAGCAGATTTCATTATTCTTCAAGGCTGGAACTGTGCTGCTCAAACACCATCTATGAGGTCCGTGCCAAATATCTTGGAACACTGCCTCAGGACTTCTTAAGCAAATTAAAGCTGACTTAAACCGTGCAGCTCAGGAGATCTGCACAGGCTATAGCACTGAAGCAGCAGCCTTATAATTCAGTTAAGAGGGTGGTGGATAAAATACAACACCTTTCAGTTTGTGTTCTGCACAGTAACTGCATACACTAATGCCCAGTGATTACCTTCCATGAGCTCAGCGAGGAATGGAATGGATTCTGGTAGCAGAACCAGGTAGTTCTCCTTCAGCTTTCCTGCAACTTCTAGCAGAGCAAGCAGAGCAGCAAAACGCACCTGAAACAAAACAATRTGTGGAAGGAAACCAGCAGTGGAATTCTTGGACTCCTGGCCCAGCCCCTGCACAAGATTCCTTCTAGCTCCTGCAAYGTGCTCAGCTGGCTTTCTCTACCAAAGGGAGCTAGATATGAACTAATGTAAATCCTCTCGACATCTGGATTAAGGCACTACCCAAGGAAGAGGAGGCTACAAGAGCAGATATGCTGCTGGAAGCTTAATACGACACTTCTAACTTCCCTTTACCAGTCTATTACACTGTGGAAGAAAGACTAAACTCTCTGTAATGAGCTAGGTGCTCCCCTGGATACGTGTTATCTGTCAAAAAAGAGATATGACAAATGCTGAATAAAAAGAGGTTGAAGGTTGATAAATAACTGTCCACTGAGGCCCCCAGCTAAAGCTTCCCTTTCTTCCTCTATGCATGGGTTAGCTCTAATTAATTCAAACAGCTCACATCTTTTAAAAAAAGCAGTATGGGAAGCATCCATATATGAAGAGACCGTTGCTTCCAGTAAGAGGAGAAGGCAATGCTGTGTATGTTTTATCTGCAACTGAAGAGCAACATCCAGCTTCCATATTTTAGCAGCAGTTAGATAATGCATTTCTGTTTTTGTGGAACAAAGGACACTTTCACATTTTCTAATTAAAGAAAGAAAGAAAATGGAGTTCCTAACCTTAGGTGAGGTGTGCCTCATTTTCAGCAGGATCTGGTAATTCAGTGGTTTCCAAAGAGAGTCGTCTGCCATGGCCACTGCAAACTGAGCTATGCAAGGTATCAGGTGGGCTGTCACTCGTTCCTGGAACTTCTCATCTCCTCCAAGCATATTTTCTAGCTGTGAAAGTCAAAAAGAATGTAAAACAACTCCAGTTTGACAGAAACCCTGGCAAAACATCCCCTAGTGTGGGCTTTAAAGTTAGGCTGGAGGGCTCTRGTTAAAGGCTACTGGTTCTGCAAGACCTCAGGAACATACAGAAACTTCATGCAATGTGTAAGCTCACAGGATTAAAAAAAAAACAAAAAAACCCCACACCCTAGTAATTCAGGGCTTTAGGCAACACAGCTAATACAGACTGTAGCTCCATGACAGTAAATAAATTCCTCCTTTGTTATGAAGAGGGAAAACTGAGGCTTCTTACTAACTCAAAAAAAGAACCTGTTATGAATTATTTTTGTGCTTGTGGCAATACCTGATCGACTAGAGGCATCATCAAGGTTTCTGTTCTCTCCCTACTCAGGAAATTCTGGGTGTCAAAGAGGAAGAGTTTATGCAGACAGTCCATGGTGAACTGCAACAGCAAACAGCTTTTTTCGGTGCTGTTCTCAGAGTCAAAGAAGGCTTCATCTGCGTGGGGGAGGCAGAGGAGGGGAARAGGATAAATCACCATCACAGGGACTAGAAACTCAAAGCTTCCCCGCAAGCTGCAAACATTGGTTGTTACAAACATAACTAAAAGAATAAAAACACATAGTGATTGTGCACTTAGCATGCAATTATAAGGCAGATACAGAAAGCTTACCAGTTTTGGAGCTGTTGAGCTGGTTCAGYGTCTCAGCAAAGGGCTTCACCAGGTGCCCAGCGAAGAGGGTGAAGAGACTCTTGAGCCTGTCCGCGATGCAGTCCGCCAGCCGGTGGAACGTCAGCAGCCTGTCCTTCCGGGCACGCTCTGTTTTTGACCAGTCAAAGAGCTGCAAGGGACAGACAGTGAGCGACAGGCTCCTTGCTGTGCACAGGCAAATACAAAGATGCTGACTGACGGGTAAGCTACAGGCTGACATGTGAAACCACAAGCGCACGGACGTGCCCCAGATGTGAGGTGGAAACTTTCCGTACGTTCCCCTAACAGCCAGGAGGGAGGCGGGAGGTCCTGGGGAGGCAGGATGGCCTCGCTGCACTTAAATTTTCAAACAATGTTAAGTGTGCTAAAGAACTGGGAACATTTGCAAAAGTCTCTACAGAATTAAAACTGGCCTTGCTGACAGTGCAAAGAGCAGATAATCTTATGGAACTTGCCTGAAGATTCTGGAAGAATCAGCAAGGCAGTCACGTATTCCCCTRTGAGATTCATGCCAGTTCGTGGTGGATGTTACTTTCACAGATCTTGTGCTGGTGAATAAAACCCACTCACTAAAGCCAAGTGATTGCTCCCCGTCTGGATTATTCTACTGTGGCCTTTAACAAGCTGGTGCAGCACATGTGAACTCCTTACCTTGAAGAAGAGAGGTCTGAAAGAAGCCTCGGAAAGCTTCATAACCATGCTGAGTAGACAATCAATAACGCACGCCTCCGTCTTACCRACTTCCTCCAAATCATCCTAGAAAAAATGGAAAACATCATTCCAAATTTAAAATGGGAGAAACTGAGCTCTCAAAACASTTCAGTTCTGTTTGCGCCCATTAAAGATGTAACTATAGCATTTTACATACATCTATTCAGAAGAGAAGACCTGATGCCCCAAACCTCGGAGCACATTTGCTCTGAACGGGGACTCCGGGGTTCCTCAGAACCACCGGCAGGGTCAGCGTGTGGCAGCTGCTCTATCTGTGCCCCCGTGGCACCCACCCGGGCATGCTCTGCGCGGAAGTCCAGGGCTTTCAGGAAAAACGCGGTCAGCTCGGACTGGTGCGAGATCAGGTGCTCCTTCTCCATAACCATGATGTGCTCCTTCAACATGTTCATAAGGGGACCCAGGCAGTTCTGTCAGAACAAAAGCAAAGTCAAAGAAAGAGAACCTGAGAAGCATAACAAGGAAATTGGATTTTTGCACTTTTACCCCTAAAAATAGTACCAATAACTAAATTAAACTTTTTGCTTAATTACTTTTTGACTAAAGCCAGAAGAACTTCTGAAAAAGTTTGGTCTCCCCTTCTCCAATGCCTGAGAGAGCAAGGTCAAGACTGAAGTGTTTACTGCTGTGACGTAGGACAGCCCAGATGAAAATTAGGACTCTTAACTCATGTTCCCATCTGGTGAAGAAAGGCCTTTGGGAACAAAGTCGCACGCACTTGTGCTSTAACATGCTAACATCAGTAACCTGGTATATTCCTCCCAGGTCTAACTTCTCTGCATAAACTTCCCAGTATAAAGAAATTTTTCAGAAACATTTTAAGACATTTTAAGCACAAGGCAAAAGAATGAATCCCCCCTAACCTTCCTGGTGTTTGCAACTTCACTGTAACACTTGGTGATCGCAGGCAAGAGTATTCTGGGAGCAAGTTTGGTAGCCAGGATAGTTTTCAGCGACGTTACACGCAAGCCAATCTGGGAAGCAGGACCAAATTCCATCACAATCTTTTCCAAGCGGACAACCTATGAGGAAATCAGCAGCAAAAGTTAGCATACTTGAAAGCCACTGAGGAGCCTTGTGTCAAGTTGTCCTTCAGCACAATTTTCCCTGAAACCGTAGTTTTTTTTTTCCTGTAGTTGAAAACAACTACAAAGACTACGTCTTAGGGCCACGTGCTTATGTGAACTGGTACTTGCAAAGATGTGCAGTGCAAAGCACATGCAGTGCTGCAGGCCACTGCCCTCAACCACAAGCCACCGTCACTAGTGTAAGGCTGGAATGCTGCTGTTCGTAGCCATCGGAGCGCATTCAGGTAGGATGTCAGCGTACAGGATTCTTCAGGACTGGTCCCCCTCCCCAAAAAGACAAACTACAACCTACAACTACAATCAGAGGGAGAAGACTATCGTGCGTCTTCTGTCTTAGCGATCATGTGGAGGTGAGCAGAACAGCAGCAGGTTATAAC